TGGGTACCTGCTGAGTGGAGTGCTCGTCTAACTAAACTTACTATTACTGCGAGAAAAATGTATGGTGTCATTGGTTCTCCACCCAATCTCGGGTCAGAAATAATTTTAAAGAGATTGCTAAAAAATTTACTATAAGAAAATATATTTCTCAAAATATATCAAAACTAACTGCAGCTAGTGCTCTGTTTAAACCATTGAAAGGAAATTTGCTACGTAGTATTCGAAAAAAAAATAAGTGTACACATTATGCATATTAGCATATTATAATATAGKTTGACATGAAGTTTTCAGGACAATATTTGTTTTCTCTCTCAGGCCCACGCTCACGCAAAACATAGATAAAACCATTGATTATAAATACTAGTATTTATAAGTTATAAATTATAAATAACTAACCTAACCTATAAATTATAACCAATGATAAAACGTTTTCAACTAAGATCATTTTTTTATGGTTTTTGAGAAACCTTAGAGCAAAATCACCTAGTTATTAAAAAAATTATAGAGGATAATATTTTTGAGGGCATAACATATTATCGTTTTTAAATATTTCATTATCGTTTGACTTTGTATTCGACTTTCAAATTAATAATAAAAATATTTTTATGTAAATGGCGTTTAAATTATAGTTTGATGCAACGTTTAGACAAATCGATATGTCATTATTCCAAAAACATTATTCTTTATCGATTTTGTAACGAGTGATTTTACTCTAAAATTATTCAAAAACTAAAATAAAAAAAAAAATTTCACGAGGATCTACACAGAGCTGAGAATACAAACAGTAAACATATCCTCTCAATTGGTACGACGGTTTTCAGATGTGTTTAATTATACCTATAATAGTCTGTGAGCACATCTAAATACCGTGGGTACCATCATTCGACCGTTTTTAGTGCAATCCCGGTTTTAAATATTATTGATATGACGACCATACATCTTACACCCGAGTGCAGAGGAGGTCGCGTGCAGTAGCAGAAATTTATTGTTGGAGCGCGTGCAATGTATAATATTTGTGTGTGTGTGCACTGCTGATTCGTGTTTACCATTCCCATCGTGTCTGTTATGTTTACACAGTCATCGCGGTTGACTTCAGGTAGGATACATTTTATGAAATTCAATTTGGCCCACACACGCAATACAACAAGGCTGGAATGATAATACCGAGAGAAAACAAAAATATACAACGAAACAAAAACGGATGGGTCGTACCTATCTGCAACATGGTTATTTACATCGGTATACGCAAAGCAGATACCCAAATACATATAGGGCGCGTGCGTCAAGCGGTCTCCCCCGAAAAGGATGTTGTGCAAATATTTGCGCCTCGGGCCCACAAAACATAAGCACTCATCACACGGTCTCATCACAATATAATAATAATAATAATAATAATATCCGTTGTACCGCGGTGTTACCACTAACCGAGTGTTGTTGTGGGAACCCGCGACGACGACGACGGTGCAGTGGTTTAATGGGCCGTCACTAATACCGGGCGGTCG